TGGTGGATTGATTTCAGTTACAGAACCATTGAAAGCCAGCAACGAGTACTGGACAACTGTTTCGTCCTAGCTTGGGACCTTTAGGCATGACCCTCTGGTTAGACTATCCCGCCACTGGGAACTGATTTGATGGCCCCTGGGTTCCTATTTCTACCAATTTGTGATATATATAGTGTGTGACACTAGCCAGTTTCATCGGACAGTCTGATGCACCCCCATCGGTCATGACTTTTTTTTTCTATGGAACTACTCCAGGCGACTTCATCCATTAGCCATTGGTGGAAATAGAAGTTGGAATTGACGGATCCATTGAATAGAGTCCCATTGACTGAATTGTGTGCCAGCTTGTCTGGGATCGGTGTCCGGTGGGTGCGTTCTGTTGAAGAGTTTTAAACTAGGACTGAAACAGCTCTCCAGGTTTTGCCAACTGATATTAATCTGTGGTCAAACTTAATAAGAATGTCTGGAAAATTGTGAGGGATCTTACGTAATCGAGAGGGAGAAAGAGAGAGTTGAGAGCTAATCAGTTAAGTGATGAATAATCAATTGGAAATAATTTGTTGGGGAAAACAAGTGAACAAGGACTTGATAAAGGATTTCAAAAATGAGACAGTAAAGTGAACAACGTTAGAGTTTATCACACAACTAACTGTTCAGGAAAGCAAAAATTTGAATTGACACTAAGATCACGGTAGTAGTAAAAGAGGCTGGATGAAATGTTTCTGAACACAAAGTTGTTCAGGTTTCTCCTTGTGGATTGCTAAGGCTTTGGCTATATCAACAAGATGTAGGCAAAATCCTTTCGTGAATGGCTTGGTCGTACTTCAGATTATGACTCTGAATAAAGTTTGTGATGATGTTACTGCATAACCAGAACTAATAATAATAGTAATATGCTCCAGAATTGAGCTGTTGACTGTTCTGCCTTCTCCTTTTGACACTAATGCTGTTTGTGGTATTCTTCAGGGCGTGTGTAGACAATGTCCTGTTGGCTCTGTGGTCCTGGTAGTTAATGCATATTGAAATTCAAATGTTTGTTTGTAGGGATTTGATTGGTCACAGGATTTCATCATGAGCTTAGTGGTATACGAGCTCGCCTTGTAACCAGAAGGTCCTTGGTTCGAATCCCGGTGGGTGCGTACTGATGAAGAGTCCCAGACTAGGCTGACGAAACAGCTGTCCAGTATTCTTAGGTTTTCCAGTGGTTCTGTAACTAATATCAGCCCATGATGAAATCCTGTAACCAATGCATATTGAAGCTGCCAACAGCGGAATCTCTTGTCTTTGACGTATTGGCGGACAAAAACACGTAAAAAGGAGAGAGGTGGCGTAGAGATGCAGCTGTCGACCGGCGGTTTTTTTGCGTTCTTATTGGCATATACAGCTTTAGGATTTGAAGTTTTAGTAGGAGTGCTGTTTTTGCACGAACTGGGGTTTCCGCCCTCACGCCAAACCTTTCCGCTTTCTTCCGGGCTTTCTTCTGCCTTGTACATTTAGGGTTCATTTAGATGTCCGTCGGCCGAGAATCGAACTCACACCTCTAGTATGGCTGGTCCACGTTCTTCCCTTGTGCTGACAACACGGGATACTTTGCATGCTGAACCTTAACTGGTTTTGATTTGGTTCAATTAATGCATATCATCACAATCTCTGCGATCTCTGTCTCACGTTAGGTGGTTTCACAAGGTAAGTACTGTTGACGTTAGGCGTAGATTGTTGGGCAAAGAGGGAAAATCAATAGACGAGGCTATAAAGTTACATAGACTAAGATGGCTAGGTCACGTGCTGCGCATGCCTAACCACCGCCTCCCCCGACGGGCACTGCTAGCTGATATAGGTGCAGGTTGGAAAAGAGTAAGTGGTGGCCAAACAAAAACATGGCTTCATCAATCCATGAAATCCTTGACAGTTAAACTGAGTCAGGTAGGTAGGGAGATGCAGACTTCAGTCCGGGTTGGGGCCCTCGGGACTCTAGGAATCAATGGCTGGAGACAAAAGGTGACATGGCTCAAAATCGCTGTCAATGTCCAGCGCAGATGTATTCAGTCTCTGTAATCTTTCATATTCCTTTCTACCATAACCCATTCTGTTTCACTCTTATACTTGTCAGACTGTATTGATTCTCTTCACTCATCTTCTTGTCTACCTCTGTGTGCTATTTGGAAGGTGGCAACTCGAACTGGTGCACTTCGGTGCCAAGTTCTATGTTGAATCCAGACAGACAGACACTGTCTCTATTATGCTTTTCTTGTACTTTCTTCTCTTGCTTCGCGTGCTACACGGAGTGTGGTGACTTGAACTTCCGCACATTTGTGGAAAGTTCTATGTCGAAAACAGACAATTAAATTTAGAAGCTGAATGCTACAGCTAGACATATGAGAAGTCACAAGTTTAATGTCTACTGTGTATGAGACTATTGTATTATCTATGAAATAATTAGAATTAAGTCAAGGAGTACTCACTCTTGAATTAGCTTTACCATTTGTTCAACTTAGGACCTCGTTGGCTTAAGCACTTGTCTTACACCCAGTGGACCACGACTTCGAGTCCTCTCCTCCCTCTCCAGCCTCGGCGACTTGGCACCGTAGAACTATGTAATTCCATATTAATATGTCTTTTGGATACATTACTAAGAATGAAACAGCTCTGTCCACTGTATGACGTATCGAATACAGTTTGTTGTTCATAATCATATCAAATTATTGTAACTATGCAGCTTCAAAGCTCGAATTTTATAGCTCTCATTCTTTCCAGTGTGATCATGACAGAAGTGGAATTCCACAGATGTCTGGGTGGAGAGGTGTTGAATCTCTGCCCGTCTGTCTGTTTTCGACATAGAACTTTGCACCGATGTGCAGCAGTTCAAGTCGCCACACTGCCTCCATGTAGCACGCAAAGCAACACAAGAAAGTAGAAGAAAGTCATAATAGGGACAGTAAACAGAGATATGAGGCAAAAAGAATAGTAATATCAAAGAACAATATAGTTTTATTGGGTATTATAAGTCACAAGGGGTGGATGCATTTGCACCAGCCATTGAGAACGATGAGTTTGAGCCATATCACCAATTGTCTCCAGCCTTCATTGGTTCATACTATCCCGAGGACCCCAACCAGTCAGGAAGTCTTCACCTTCCTACATGGCTTAAACTAACTGTTGTGTATTTCATTGACTGATGAAGCAATGTTTTGGTTTCACCACCCACCATTAGCTTTCTTCTAGCCTGACCCTATGTCAGCTAGAATTCCCTGTTGTCGAGGAAGGCGATGGCTAGGCGTACGTAACACATGTCCTAACCACCTCTCTCACTGGATGTAATTTCACATCCACCTCGTCTATTGATGTCCCCTTCCACCTACCTAGCACTCAACCGATGCTTCACCTCAATATTACTCAGCCAATTATACCAGCTAACACAGGAGATAGAATCCAGACACCTATGATCAAAGACAGCTATCCAGGTTTTTCATGCCTTCTACTTTCAACGACCATGTCCCGTTCACAGCCATAAAGGAGAACAGAGTAGCCTGCTGAGCAGTACATATGCCATTTGGTCGACAGCCAGCTGAATATCCCGTCAACTAAGCTAGTGATGGCGTAAACTGGCATATGCGAACCAAGCTTTTTGTATTCGAGCTGAAATTTCTTCAGTGATCGACCCACCAGCACTGGCTGATAATAAGTGAAGCGGTGGACACGCTATACCAGTAGGAGCCAGTTTAATCCTCTCCTGTTACATCATCTTACATTTGGCGGGAGCGAATCGCATACCAAACATTGGTAGATTGCAGCTCAGGGTGTTCAGAAGACTCTTCTTTTGTCAGCGTTTTCATCTGGGTTGGAAGACTATATGATCTGTATATTCTAAGTCAACGGGATTATTCCCTGGTTGTAACAAGCCAATCTCTGAGTCGCAGAAGTCACTCAGGGTCAATTCCATTAGTACGTCTGTAATGAAATTGAATAGAAATGGGGATAGTAGGTATCCCTTGCGACACCACTATACTGGTTGTTATCATTTCAGATGACAACTCGCCGTAGGCCCTCACCTGGCTGCATGAGTTCGACTAGAGTGTCTTGATCAGTACAATGTATTTTCTCGGCATTCCCTTAACAGTCAAGTATCGCCAGAGTACCTCTCCGTCGACAGAATCGAATGCCGCTTTTAGGTCAAAAAAGGTGTTGAATCACTCCTGTTGCGCATGTCTTTACAGTGTTGATTCGCTAAACCTAAGTTTCATTTATCGATGTCTCCCTCCACCCTGTTACATTAGATTTTAATACTATTACCCTGTCCCATTCTATTGTGTATGGTTGTATGTAACTGCATGTAATGCTAAAGCTGAGCCGTTTCTTTAAATTCCTTATTCTGTTAGGGTCAATTAATATAGACTTTATTAGGATTTTGAGCTCCTCTAGTTCCACTATGTGGTAAATATTCAATAGACAAATTGTTATGGAAGTATCATCGGCCCTAACACGATCACTGTGACCCGACCTAGAGGAGCTCAGTAATATGATCTTCCGTGATGAGAATCGATGGAAATATAAAACCACATTTAGCTTAAATGATTAACTGATCTTCAGCATGAAACTTTACACAGAAGTGCAAAAAGGAGGGTTTATTAGATATTGGGGGATCACAAAAGGCGTGGCCATGACTAACTTGTGCTCCAGGATTTCCATAAATGATTTAAAAATTTCATCTTTAGAATTTCACAACTCACATACGTGGCTACCTGAGTGTAGTGACTTTTCGATTGCTTGTAATGTTCTTTGTGAGAGGATGAGAGCAAATGGTAGGCTCATCAAGTTCTTTCCCAAGTATCTAATCGCATAACTGGTCTTAGCACATGTTGAATTTATGTGCTCATAAGAATGTTTTCACCCAACTCAAAAAATGCAAATTACTATGATCTATGTAGTTAAATATGGCGCCAAATATAATGGTTGTTTAAATATGCAAATTTTTTATCTTATTTATTTACTTTTTTGAACAGAAAATTTATCATGCTATTAAAACAGAACCACTTCGTGCTGTTTCTGATGATCTATCTGTATATGGTACCAATCAGAATAATGCCATTCATAAAGGCTGGTTATGGAAACTCGGTGAGTTATTGATTATTAGCTTTATTTTAAAGCCCTTTGTTACGTGTTGTATTGAGATTTAATCTGAGGCTTGCCGGTCAACTGATTTGCTCCAGCACAAAACTGTCTGGAGTAGTTTCAGTGAAAAGTCGTGACCATTGGGGTTAACCCGGTCGCTGATGTCAGTTGCGCTAAAATCATGAATTGGTAGAAGTTGGAATTCATGAGCTGGCTGGCTGGCCAACAGCTGTCAATGGTCTACTAGCTTTCCTTGTAACCGGGAAGGTCTTTGGTTTGAACTTTGCCGGTGGGTACATACTGAGAAGCGGTCCTAAACCAAGACGATAGAGCCTTTCAGAAGAAATTCATGTAACCTTTAGATTTCAGGAAGGCTTCGTGTGCTTTTGGAAGTGTGTGGGTGGTTGTTACTTCCCGGCTGTCCACACTATGGAAGTTGATTGATTAGCTGTCTTTGATCATAGGAAGGTGGAGACTTCCTGGCTGGTTGGGGTCCTCGGGACGGTAAAAACCAATGTGGGCTGGAAATATTTGGTGATATGGCTCAAACTCATCCTTCTCAATGGCTGACGCAGATGCATCTACTTCTTGTGACTTATGTTTTCAAATGAAATTATATCGTCCTTCGTTATTACTATTCTTTTGTCTCACACCTCTGTTTAGTGTCTCTATTGTGCATTTCTTCTACCTTCTTGTCTGGCTTTGTGTGCTACATGGAGGGAGTGTGGCGACTTGAACTGTTGCACATTGGTGCAAAGTTCTATGTCGAAAATAGATAGACAGACAGATAGACCTGTAGATTTATCATGGTATCTAGTTCTATGTGCCTTCTGAGTAGTTGTCGTTTGTCTGCCTTCTGTTCATTGTTTTTCTCCTCTTCAGGCGTAGAAAATCAGTATTTCAATTTCTGTCTAAAAGTACATCCTGTTCACAAGAAATTTGTTCGATTTTCTGTTGTTTTTTTGGGAGATGAACAGAAATATTTTTCTCTCTCTTTTGAGGCGAGAAGAGCAGGAGTTGATCTTAGATATATAAAAAGGTGGGGGGTGGAATCACAAAAGGACTAGTAGAAATAGTAGTGGTAGTGGTGGTCACTTAATTGTGATATGCGCATAAGATAAATTTATGATAAAGGCCATTATATAATAATAGCAGCAAGCGAATGATATTTATATACGATAACAGATGGAGAGGAATACTAAGTTAGTTGATAATACTAGTTATAAATAAATTAATATTTTAGCAGGAATAATATTGCAGAAATTAGTGATTATCAGATAAGTATTATTGTTATTATTATTTATCCTTTATTATCCCTATTTCTATTCAATTTCATTATTGATGTACTAATGGAACTAACCGTAACTGCTGACGTGACTTCAGCGACTCAGGGATTGACTTGCTGTTACAACCAGGGAATAATAGTCTCGTTAACTTAGAATATGCAGATGATATAGTCAATCGTCCTAGGTGAAGACGCTGAAAAAAATAGAGCAGAGTCTTCTGAACACTTTGAAGAGCAGCAATCTTCGAATGTTTGGCATGCAATTCTCACTCGCCAAATGTAAGATGATGTTACAATACTGGAGTGGACTACATTGACTCCTAGCTTAGAAATAGAAAGTGAAGTGGGGTTGATGGAGCACGTTTGACCACTTCACTTATCTGAGAAGTTGCATCACTGACGAAATCTCAGTATGGATACAGAAGGCTCGTTTTGCATACTCCAACTTACGCCATCTCTGGCTATCGACTAAAACACCTGTGTACTGCTCAGCAGTTTGCCCTGTCCCACCTTTATCACTGTCAGTGAAACCTGGTCACTGAAAGTGAAATGGAAGAGAAGACTATCTGTCCTTAATCGGAGGTGCTGTGTTAGGCGGTATAATAAGGTGAGTAATATTGGGGTGAGGCATTGAGTGTTAGGTAAGGATGGGAAATCAATCAATGAGGTCGCGAAGTTACGCCGATTGAGATGGTCAGTCATTCAGTGCCTTCCTTGACAGGCACTGTTAGCTGTCTGACATAGGATGAGAGCTAAGGGTGGTTAAACCAAAACATGTTTTCATCAGTCAATGAAATCCATAACAGTAAGTTGAAACCAGCCAGCCAGACACATAGGGAGGTGTAGGCTTCGTGACTAGTTAGGATCTTCGAAATAGTAGGAATCATTGGCTTGATGAGGCTTTCGGTGATTATATGCCCTAAAATCATTCCCAGTGATGATGGGGATGCATTTGCTCTATACATGGTCTCCCGTTTTCCATTAAATAAACATGTTTTTTCCATTTTAATATTCTTTCTTTCCCCCACATATTTTTGCTCATTGGAGTTCTTTTGAATCTTGTATGTCCTCCACTTTTGTTTACTTTTGTGTGGTAAATTCATATGTGACATTTCTGTGTTGATACACAGTAAGTGGTATCCACATATAGGAGATGTAAACGCTCATGTAAATGCTTAGTTGGTGGTAAATAACACTACATCTTTTTGTCTGTTGGTCTGTTTCCATAGTATAGTGTGGACTTTAAATTGAGCATCTTTATTCTTAAGGGGCCAGAGACGCTTTACTTCACCTAGATGTTATGATATTTCTTCTCTTCACTGTGAGATAATGTTTACTCTCTTGAGAAGAGGCTTGCTCGTGCATAAAGACCGCTTTGCAGCCCGTTTCCACGAATTCACTAGATACATTTAAGTATTTTATTCGCTTTGGCGATGTCCGAGCACTCCATTAGAGTCCTAATGGCACTAGTGCTGGTAGTCAGTTACAATAGCTATTTTTACTGTCTTCTCAAATTAGTGTGAGTATATATATATATGTATATATATGTATATATATATATATATATATATATATATATATATATATTGAGGTTAGGCGTCAAGTTCTAGGTAAGGAGGCGAAATCAATCGACGAGGCTGTGAAATTACATCGACTGAAAGAGGTAGTTAGGACATGTGTTACGTATGCCTAGTCATCGCCTTCCTCGACAACAGGCAATGTTAGCTAACATAGGGTCAGGCTGGAAAAGAGCTAGCCAGTGGTGGTCAAACCAAAACATGGCCTCATCAGTCAATGAAATCCACAACAGTTAGTTTAACCCAATTATGCAGGGAGGTGTAGACTTCCTGACTGGCTGGAGTCCTCAGGACGGTAAAAACGAATGGCTGGAAACAATTGCTGATATGGCTTAAAATCGTCGTCCTCAATGGCTGGCGCAGATGCATCCACTCCTTATAACTTATGATTTCCAATGAAACTATATTATTCTTCGTCATTACTATTCCTTTGTCTGTTTAGTGTCTCTATTATGCATTTCTTCTACCTTGTCTGGCTTTGTGTGGGGTACATGGAGGGAGAGTGGCGACTTGAACTGGCGCACATTGGTGCAAAGTTATATGTCGACAACAGACAGGCAGACAGACATATTATTCTTATTATTGTTCCCTTGGGTTCCTAGTGGAACATAGGGCTTCAACTGCACGTCTCCACTTGCTTCTGTCTTCTGCTGTACTTTTCACCTGCATCCATGTTAGTCCATAATCTTTCAACTCCTTTTCACACGATCTCCTCCATGTCACCCTTGCACTGATGTCCCACTCGCCACTTCCCTTTTGGGCTCCCCTCGAGCAATGGCCTGACACGCGATGTCACCCAGTGGCCTCCTCAGCGAGTAGTGTCCAATCCATCTCCACTTTCTCCTGCATATTTGTTGGTTGGCGATTGTTTCTTGTTTTGTTTGTTCCTCGCCATAGTTTCTTGTTGGTGATTCTTTCCGGCCCGGTCATCTGATCTTCAGTATAGACCGAAGACAGTTGTTGGTTGATAAAGGTCTGCAATAGCCTGTTGAAAATATTCATTGTGACCCGCCAAGTTTCTGATCCGTATAGAAGAACTGACTTGACGTTGTTTGTATTGAAAATCCGACGGAATTTTGTTGTTGATGCTGATTGCATATAGGAGTAAGACAGGACTGCCTATTACGACCGTTGATATTCTAAATTGCGATGGACTGCATTATGCGTTAGACAGTTCATGGGGAGCAAGAAGACAGGAGAATATGCTTAGTCGATAAAGCGACAGACAGTAGAAAGTGTGTACTCCGCGGATGATTTATGTCACACAAACTCAAAGATTTACAGGCAAAAAACAAAAAATTCACTGAAGAGACTGGCAGTCAGCACAGTACTCCAGGTGGATATAGAGAGGACGAAGGTGACAGTAACAGTAACAACAACTGGCACCAATCACCATCAATGGGAGAGATTTGACAGAGGTTAGTTTCTTCACTTATCTAGTAGGCATCGTTTCAACTACAGGTGGAACGTATGAAGTTGTCAAAGCAAACCAGCCAGAGTTCGAAGGGCGAGGTACTTCTTCATCAATCTGAATTCAATTTAGAAGTATACACTCAGTCAGAATAATGAAGAAGATTTGGGTTTTCGACACAAAAATGTGAAGTCATTCAGTTCGTTTATATGGGTCAAAAACCTGGACTGCGCGTCACAAAAGACATTTCCAACAGGCGCTACTGAAGACTTTTACCAACAACTGCCCACTTCACTGGCTACATATTGAAGATCAAATGGCCAACTGGCTAGAAAGAATTAGGAACAAGAAATTCTGCAGTGGACCAAACCAACCAAAAGCCGGTTGCTTAACAGATATGGAGGAGAAAATGGAGTTGGATTGCGTTCACTCCACTGCGTCAGACCACTTCTCGAGTGGAACCTGAAAGGGGAACAACGAATTGGGCATGACTCCGAGGGTGATATGGAGGAGATCGTGCGACGAGGAGGAAATGAGAGATTATGGGTAAACGTGGGCCTAGTTGACGAGGGGAGCGGAAGATATGACGAAGTGGAGGTTTGCTCTTGAAGCTTTGTTTTCCACTCAGATCCCAAGGGCATATATATGTATGCATGTATGTATGTATATGTATATATTTATGAGATCATACCATAACTGGATTAAAATCTATTATTCTTTAAGTTTCCTATTAGATATGTACTTTAATGTGAAGAAATCATTCCCTAAATATTATTGAGTTTTTATAAACTTTGTTATTTTGTAAAGCACTTTATCTCTTAGGTAACACACTAACAAAAACAACAATTAAGGACGTATCTTGGCGCCCTAACTGACACGCACGCACACGCACACACACGTACATATATATTTATATGTATCTGCTTTGCTTCCTTTACTTGAGTATTTAAAAAGTAGTAATGCTTTGTGTGTGTGTATGTTCATAATCAGAATAGATTGTTAAGTTGTGATGTATTGGTTTAAGACAATCGGTCTCCAACCGAAGGGTGGGTTACACAGACTGGAGCCCATAAAATTGGGCGTGGCTCATTACCGATAACACTGAGAGAGAGAGGTGCTTGACTTAATCACTTCTGATTTCTAACTCAAAATGTTACAATACTTGAATGCTTTTTATGTGTACATGTTTAGATCAAACTATTTTTCTGTTTGTTTGTTTGTTTGTTGTTGTTGTTTTTCCAAATCTAGGCGGTAGAGTTAGAAGTTGGAAAAGACGATGGTTTGTGCTGACAGAAGATAATCTACTCTATTATTTGACACCAGAAGTAAGTCTATTTTTTAAACTTTTCAGGTGTATTGGTTTGTTGTAAGGATTTGATTTGATTTGATTAGTTACATGATTTCATCATCATGAGGTGATATCGAAGAGAGATAACCATTAGAAAACCAGTCAGAGAGTACTGAACAGTCGGTTGTTTCGTCGGCCTAGTTTGGAACTCTTCATCAGTACGCACCCAAACCAAACCACGGGGTTCGATCTCAAGACCAGTGACCAGTAGTAGGGTGCAGTAGGTTGGGGGGGGTGTAAGGACAAATATTCACTGAAGTCATTGCTGGTGGTCACGCTACTTTGTGAATTGACAGAAGTTGGAATTCATAGATCGGCCATTGGATCGGGTCACAGTGGCTTAACGGTCTACGAGCTCGCTAGCCTTGTGACCAGAAGATCCTGAGATCGAACCTCGTGCTGTAGGTGTGTGTACTGTTGAAGTGGAGTTCCAAACTAGGCTGATGAAATAGCTGTCCAGTAATCCCCGGGTTTAAACTTTTATTGTCTGTCACTGTTATATTTAGTAGATATTCAAAAGTATTTACATACACACACTATGCGTCGGCGGATCAGGATTAAAATGCTCGTCATCCACCCACGTAGTTCGGTATTTGATTCCCCGTCCAGCTCGTTGTATATCTCAAAAAAAGTAAAAACTTACACTTTAATTGTGATATCTCTGATGGTTTTGAATCGTGTCTTTACCATCAAGACACACGAATCCATGTATTTTTTTTTACTTTCTCCACGTTCCCAGTGGAACATAGGGCTTCAATCTGTCGGTTTGAAGTTTCTGTAGCAATGGTGATTATTTTTTACAGGATATATATATAAATGGTTTTTATATCAAGAAATTATATCCGGTGAGGGAATCGAGTCAAAGGCGTGAATACATGAAATAATAATAATAGTAGTAGTATGGAATTCAATTAAAGTTTTTGCGATTATAATCATAGTTAAATGTCAAGTAGCAAAACAATTAATGTCATACACAGAATAATACATAAAGTGTATAGATTTTGGAAAGGGGTACATAATTATAGGATTAGTAGGCGAATAAAAATGTTGCATAACATGGTGTGAAATTTGATAAGATAGAATTCAATATCGTAAAAATAAATATAAAAATTAATAATTTTTGGATTTCGAATGACAAGTGAGACAAGCGGAAACAATTCAGAGTGAGAATGGTAATAATGATAATAATCGTAGTAATAAGGGAAAGGTACATAGAATAACTAAATAAACAAAATAAATAAATGTCTACCGCTCTACGGCCAAGGCTGAAGTCGGGATTGTACGTACTTCCTTTTGTACACAAAGATCTGGCTTAAAGTCATGAATGGCCAAGGCCTCCGCTGTCCTTAGAAGTCTATAACCAAAGAAAAAAACGCGGGTAGTTAGCATCGATTCGATATATGATGTTCTTAAATTCATGGTCAGGGTTATTTGTAAAGCGACAGAAGTCGATCAAGTAAAACGTTCTTTGCTACAGAATTACAAGTGACGTTCACCAACTGCAAGTTGTTTTGTCACATTTGACAATGAATATAATCACATATCGAGTCGGTGGCACAGCGGTAAAACGCTCGCCAAACACACACACAAGTGGTTCGCGATTTGATCCCCGTACCCCGCTAAACCAGTAATAAGACTGGTGAGGAGGGAACTTTGGGCATGAGGCTAGCAACCTCATCCTGTAAAAAAAAAAATAAACACCAGTGCTACCGAAACTTTAAAGCTCTAGCATGATTGAACACCTATGTTCCACTGGGAACGTAAACGAATCAAAAAAAAAAGAAATTTAATCACAAATATTTTAATTGTGTTTCTACTCTTGCCTATCGTTTTATTTCTGTTCACGGCCTTTTCTAGTAACTTAATCTATAACAATTTTATGTCAAAAATGTATGCTCAAATATTTTATATCAATTGAAGCCGCATATATCATAAACACATCACCTTCTTTTGATTTAATCACCAGGGTGTGATCAGTGTTGTGGATGTACTAGTTTGATCATCATGGATTGATATCAGTTAGACAAGCATTAAAAGCCAGTTAGGGGAGTACTAGACAGCTGTTTCGTCCTAGTTTGGGGCTCATCAGCAGTACACACCCATTGCCACAGTTTCAAACCAGGACCTTAATAATAATAATTATTATTAATACAATTATAATAGCTTTACTCTGTACGATTGGTCCACACAATATGAACAATTTTTTTGGAGTAAATCTCTTCTTCCAGGAGTTTCATGTAAAACAGCCAACACTTCCAGTATCGCATGTGACTCAATGCTATTCTAATCTGGAGAATAAAAAAAATCCTTTATGGTAATGTTGTTTGTTTCTTCAGAAATCAGCAACACTAGATTGATGGAAACCGATTAAAAATGTGTATGAGGAGTACATTTGACAACCCATGGACATAATTGAGTGATTATAACAATAAGAATTAAAGAAAATAAGAAGCCTTGTGCCTGATGGAAATTCAGGTAGCCTGGTGATTCAAGTAGGCTTCCGCCTTAAGTTAAAAGTCAAGCTCGTAGACCATTTTAGCCACTTGGACCCTATTAAATGGCCGATCCATGAATTCTAACTTCTACCAGTTCGTGATTTTAGCATAACTGAGCATTAACTGGTGTCATCTCTGACGAGTATTTGTCCTCACTCTCGACTAGGCGGACCCCACTGGTCATGACTTGAAACAAATTAAATCCCTACAAGCAAACTCTGATGTTTACCAGTAGTCACTGGCTGCGGGATAAAGTCGTCTGGAGTGTAAGTCCTTGTGAGAGAAGTCGTGACCAGTGGGATCCACCCAGTCGAGTGTGAGTGCAAATGCTCTCCCCGCAATATTGGCTGATAGTCGTAATAAAATCAGGAATTGGTGGAAGTTATAGTATATGGACCATTGAGTCGGATCCCAGTGGCTGAATTGTGTACGAGTTTGGCTTGTAACTTGTAGGTCTTGGGTCCGAAACCTAGCAGCCGCATACTACTGATGATTCCCAGAGTAGGGCCAAAGAGCTGTCCAGTAATCCATAGTTTTTTCACTAACAGGATTTAGTCAACAATCCGTGTTGTATCCCTTACAGGTCTATGGGTGCAGGTCAGTTCTAAGCCTCTGATTGCGGTACTTGGTGAAGCAGTTTCGAATTTCCGAGCTGACAGATTCGCCTTACTAACTACTGTCAAAAATAAAAATTGAGCAAAGAATATCCTTTTCGATAATTTCCTCGCCCTCTGACTCCACAATTATATACGTATATATATATATATATATATATATATATATATATATATATATATATATATATATATATGTAGAATATTCTAGAATAATCGTCATTGACGATATTGGCCTTTTTATAAATACTATCGATTTGTTAAGTAAGTTCAGTGGAATTAGAGTTCACAAAAGATGAATAAATTATAGTAAGAAGCATAAGAATGTAATAGCAAATAGAATATCAAATAAAATTCAGAAAATTTCCACAACAAGTTGAGAATCATTAAAACCTTGATGACCAGGAGGGTAAGGACAGTGTCTGTACCAACTTCTTTTTGATGACTGACTGACTGATATAAACATAGAACTTTACACCTATGTCCAGCAGTTCAAGTCACCACACTCCCTCTAGGTGGCACACAAAACACGAAAAGAAAGTAAAAAGAAATGCAAACTAGAGACAGTAAACAGCGATATGAGGCAAAGGAATAGTAATATCGAAGATCCATATAGTGTTTTTGGGCATTATAGGTCACAAAGAGTGGCTGCATCTCCGCCAGTCATTGAGAATGATTTTGAGTCATATTACTAATTGTTTCCAGCCTTCATTGGTTCTTACCATCCTGATGGCCTCAACCAGGAAGCCAGTGTATACCTTCCTACGTAGCTTAAGCTAACTGTTGTGGATTTCATTGACTGATAAAGTGATGTTTTGGTTTGACCACCACTGGCTCTTTTTCAACCTCATCCATCCTATGTCAGCTAACATTGCGTGTTGTCCAGGAAGGCTATGGTTCGGTGGTATGCGTAACACATGTCCTAACCGTTTCAATCTATGTAACTTCACAGCCTTGTCTATTTATTTACCCTCTTACCCACCTGGCACTCGACTCCTGACCTCAATATTGCTTATCCTATTGTACGATTTCATACAGGAGATAGACCGCAGATACCTATGATCAAAGACAGCTAGCCAGTCTTTTCATGCCTTCCACTCTCAATGACCAGGTCTCAGCCATAAAGAAGGACGTTGTAGACTACTGGTACATAAGTTAGGTTTCTTAATGTGGATCCCAATGGTGTACGGTAGATGACTTTGAAAGCCACCTCGTTAATATCAGTTTTGTGTGTTTTGTATCCACAAGATGAGATAGAATAGAGCTATGGATGAATTTTGTTTGTCCTTAACTTAACCAACCACACAGGGTGGTGTTCGGAAATCCAACGATAAACACGCCGAATTGTACGGTCTATGTAACTGACACGAGACCTAGATCAGGCGGGAGGCTTTCTGCTGGATTACCTCGAGATATCTGACACACCATCTGTTTGTGTGTTCATTAGTATATATGCAATCTATTGTTTCATTTTTGTCTCTTTATATCTAGCGTTCTCGTCAAACAAAAGGTGTCATCCAGTTGGAGGGGATTAATATCCGACTGATAAATGATAAAACGAAAGAATACTGTTTTGAATTATTTTGTCCACGGAACCAATTGATTAAATCGTGTAAAGTTGAAAGAGAATTAGCCTCAGCTCCAGGTTAGTTGGTTAGTTAATTCGTTAGTGTGCATATTTTATCGACTCAGTTTTATTACTTTTTATTGTTGTACAAATCGAGTTTCTGTTGTTAAACTTGGTGTGTGTGTGTGTGTGCCATATGTTATAATGCGTGTCTGGAATACATATCAATGTATTGGATGACATTCATGCCATTCAAGTGGAACATAAGGCTTCAACTGCGTATATCCATTTCATCCTGTTCTCTGGAGTCCTTTTTAGCTGTCTCGATGAGTGTGTCTATAAGCTTTCATCTCCTCCTCCTCTCACACGATCTCCCCCATGTCATCCTCGGACTCCATGCCTAGTTCGTCGTTCTCCATTCGCGTTCCGGTCGAAGGCCTGGTGTGCAGTGTTATTCAACGGTCTCCTCAGTGTGTGTGTGTGTGTGAAACTCAGCCCTCTCCCCCTCTGCATAGACCTTGACCGGTGGGTTCTCGGTTGTTTCATTGTTAAATTTCCTTGTCACGCACCCTCTCTGCCTGGCTATATGGTCTTCTGTATCTGGTAAAGATTTGTGTTCCTGGAGTCTACAGTAGCTGCCTGTCAGAAATGCTTTTCGTGAGGCAAGTACCTTGTCAATGATTCATTTAGAAGAACTGACTGACTTAACATTAATGTTGAAAATCTGAGTGCAGCAGATCTCCATATTGTTTTCAGAGTAATTTCAGGTTAGTCCTTCTATCCCAATTCTACCTTTGGTATTTTTATCAATGCCTCCTGTAGTTCAAAATGGTGCGATCTAGTTTTTTGAATTTCTAGCGTTAATGATGATTGACGCTTGTTGTTTAGGATTTTACATGTGGACTGCCATAGTTTCTGGGGTTTTATAAAGAAAACTTTGATTCTTACTCCCTTGGCGCAAAACATTCCGCGTACTCTGTAGACGACTCTGAAGTTGGAATTCATCGGCTCGCCATTGAATCGAGTCCCAGTGGCTTAATGGTCTACGAGATGGCTAGCATTGTAACCAGAAGGACTTGGGTGTGAACCCCGTGGTGTGATGGTGAGTACTGCTGAAGCGGAGGCTCAAAATAGGACGAAACAGCTAACTGGTACTCCCAGATTTTCCAGGGATTCTCTAATTGATGTCCGCTCAAAATGAAATCTTTTTGAATCCGAAGTTTGTATTCTGCTAGTTTGTTGGTTCTCCAGAATAGGATTTCAGGCGGTATGTTTTACCTCCTCTGTAACGCTCTCTCAGTCAATGTTTCATGATACGCGTAGACAGCAATGATAACCAAAACTGGTTACATATCTGTCCATTTCATTTTATATTAGGAAAGTTAACAAGCGCCTATGCGGCCACGAAGTAAACTTACCGTTTCACACAGTTTTGTAACAATGACGGATATCTTTGTGAAACCACAATTTAAGGGTGACTAATTCATCAATCAAGTTGGACAGCTTATAGGCTTTCGATGAGCTAGCAAGTTCTCCTTTTACACCTCATTTCCATTCCCTAACCTCTTGAATATATTTCTTCGCTGGGTCAAAGTCTAAAGAACGAAATTCTACTTCACATTGTATCTACAAGTTCATATACAGTTGTAGGGATATATAAGTACGCATATATATTGGCAGAATTAATAGAATGTTGACTGACTGACTGACCGACTGGTTTCAACCTAGGACTCTGTACAGATGTGCAGAAGTTCCAGTTGCCACTGTCCCTCCATATGGCACACAAAACAAGAGAACAGAGTAAATAGAGAGGGATAGTAAATAGAAGTCTGAGTAAGGGAAAAAGAATGGCAATATGGAAGAAGAATAGAGTTTTATTGGACATGACAAATCACAAGGAGTAAATGCTTCTGCGCCAGCCATTGACAACGACGATTCTGAGCCAAATCACCAATTGTCTTTAGCCTTACTTTGTTCTTACCATCGCGAGGACTCCGACCAGTCAGCCACACAGTCTACACCTCCATACCTGGTTGGCTAGCTGACTGGCTTAAACTTACTTTTATAGATTTCACTAACTGAAGCCATGTTTTGGTTTAATTAACTACCACTAGCTCTCTTCCCACCTGATCGATCCTATGTCAGTTAGCTAACATTGCCTGTCGTCAAGGCAGGCGATCGATGTTTAAGCATGCGTAACACACGCCGTAACCATTCCAGTCGATGTAACTGCACAACTTCATCGACCGATTCTCCCTGCATTCTTTTCGTCCATCCCGAGAACACCAACCAGTCAGCCACGCTGTCTACACCTCTCTAAGTGGCTGGCTGGCTTAAACAAACTGTAATGAATTTCATTAACTGATGAAGACATGTTTCGGTGTGACTTCCACTAACTCTCTTCCCACCTGATCAATCCTATGTCAGTCAGCTCACATTGCCTGTCGTCAAGGCAGGCATCGGATGTCTAGGCATGCCTAACATATGTCCTACCCACCTTAATCGATGTAACTTGACAACCTCATAGATTGATTTTTCCCTCCTATCCTTACGTTTCAATATAGTCGGAAACAATGTGTGTTACCAAGTAAAAGTGGCCGATGAATCACACAGAAAGTTCATTAGAGATGATTTATTAATGTGTCTGAACATAAAAGCACTCTTTATGATCTTCTGTCACAATTCTAATTTAAGATCATATGAGATAATGGAAGGACTTTAAATTAATCATCATATGCATTGTAAATGTGATTTGTACAGGAAACGATAAATTTCAACCCTATGTCTACTCTGGATTACTTGACCCCTTATTAATAGAATGACGATTAGTCATTTACGTGTCCTTTTCCTTCATATAAATAATTGTCTGACATTCTCACATTTTTGTCCGCTAAGCGATGATACAGAAACTATGAAATTCCTTTAACTGAATTTTATATTTTCCCATCGACTGATTCTACCGAAGTGCTTGATCTCAGGTTGACATGTCTGTCGGCTTCTTGTGCAGATGCTTCGACGATGTCTGGGCATGTAATTAAAGGTTAATTGGTGGATGGCGGCTCTCGTGGCCCAAGTGGTTTAGTGAATAAGGCTTTGGCGTTTGAAAATATAGGCATTGGGTTCGAGCCTCGGTGGGAACATAGTCATAACTTACTGTGGAATGCAGGTACATCCATTTGGAGGACGAGTCCCAAATAGAACGAAATGCACGTTATCCTGGATTCCACTTCTGGTCACCATCTACGAAGTTCCTTGATCTCACAATATTTGTCAGCTGAATGGGTGCACTTCACCCGACCGATAGATGATACCTAAATGGGGTTGTCGGAGTCGGACTTGCATATCGAAGTGATCCAACGAGCTGCAATGGCTAGAACTAATGTTCCTATAGGTCCTACCATACCGGTAAGACCGTCGGAATAGAGGTTAGACTAAAAGAAGTTACCATGACACTGTTAGTTGTTTACAATATGTTGGGAGCGTTTCGACGATGTCTTACTAATAGCAGTAGGGTGTTTCCCCGAGACAACTAATATGTCAGCTATGCGGTTTCGCCTCTGTGGAGAGGGAGACTGGTAAAGGCTGACGTTGAAAATTGTATATCTCGACCATCCTTAACCAGTGATGAGTTCTAGATACAGATAAAGTTTCAAAAACCACTTCAGAAAAAAGTCATGTGCTCGACCGGCCTCGAACAGTTGTCTCCCATGCTCTGGGGTCATGCAACACAAATACCTGACGAAACAATCAACTTCTTTTATGGTATGGATAGCCGGGAAGTAACAATGCCCAACCCACAGAAGACTCCATTATTATACAAAACTTTCTTAACTATTCACAGTTATAATTTAATTCAGTTTAGACTTTCCTGACACGTGATGCCATTCGACGGTCTCCTCAGCGTGTGTCCGATACATCTCCATTTTTTCTGCATATTCGTTGAGTAATGGGTTCTTAGTTGGTTAGTTTGGAAGTCTGCACTCAACGTAATGAAATACATTAGGATTTTTAACATCGATGCTAAATCATTCACTTCTTCTATATGGGTTAGAAACTTGGCCCACGCGTAATCCATGTTCTGTGGGGTCATAATGACTCCTATCTGCCCAATACTCTCTGGTTCTCTAACTGACGTGTCAGGTCAGTTAGATCTAACATGAAACCGACCAAATCCTAGCAAACGATAACTTTAAAACCAAGGTACAACTGTAAATATTCATTGATCCTTTGTGGGCAGTGATATAAACTAGATGAAGAATAAAACTTGTGCACTGTGGTGGTAGAGTGTAATTCCATTATGCGTAAAATTTGTTTTGATAAAGTCTCACACAGTGTTATTATACAGTACTGGTTTACTGATCACCCCGTTTCGAGTACAATTTATCACTGCTCATTATCATATCAAGGTACTACGAACACAACTTTCTAACTTCGTTTATATAATTCAATTATTTCATTTCATCGCTTGACTTGATTGGTAGTAGTATTTTCTATATTTCGGGTATGAGTGATGAATCATTCCTACTGCATGTGTTGCGCGTAAACCCCATGAACCAGGCAAGATTGAATAATCTCTTCTCTCTCCACCTACCTATATTACTTTTTAGAATTTCAACCCTCTCCCATCCTGTTGTGTGTTACAAGCACAAGGAGAGACCTAAATGTTGAAATAAAACAGATTGAAGAGGCGTTGGTATTAAGTAACTATCCTATAAAATTCATTAGGGAGATCAGGAAAGACCAAAAACAAAATAAAAATAATTGTGAAACTAGTAGTGATAACATAAATAAGAGAGAATATAAGGCATCTACTGTTATACCATATAAGGAGGGGGCGTCTGAAACCCTGCGTAGGATTCCTAATAAAGCAGGAATTAGAGTGGCATTCAAACCTACAAACTCACTTGAGGTCAAGCTCTGTAGGTTAAAGGACCCTATTGACTTAATTAAACAAAATCAATATAATTTACAAAATACCCTGTAATGACTGCGAGTGGGGTCAAATATATAGGTGAAACTAGTAGGTCAGGGGTAGTCAGATTGTCAGAACATAAGAATTTAGCTGAGGTAAGAATGGTTGACCCGAGAAGATAAGTAATTTGGAAAAAGGCTCAGCAATCGCACTGCATGCATTAACATGCAACCACACAATAAGGTAGGACAGAAATAAAATTCTAAGTTGTGATATTGGTAGGTGGAGAGAGAGATTGATTACTGTACTTGCCTCGTTCATCGAGTCTACACCCAACACACATGCAAAAGGAATGACTCATCTCTCATACTGGCAATATGGAAAATACTACTACTAACAGTCAAGTCAAGCTATGAAACGAAATAATGGAATTATATAAGCGAAGTTAGAAAGTTGTATGAGCGCCTTGATATGATTATGAGTGGCAATAATTTATGCTGGAAACGTATTATTATTATTATTGCTCCCTTGGGTTCCTAGTGGAACATAAGGCTTCAACTGCACGTCTTCACTTGCCACCTCTGTCTTCTGCTGTACTTTTCACCTGCATCCATATTAGTCCATACTCTTTCAACTCCTCTTCACACGATCTCCTCCATGTCACCCTTGCACTGACGTCCCACACGCCGCTTCCCTTTCGGGTTCCACTCGAGGGCTTGACGCGCGATGTCACCCAGCGGTCTCCTTAGCGAGTGTCCAATCCATCTCCACTTTCTCCTGCATATATGTTGGGCGATTGGTTCTTGTTTTGTTTGTTCCCATAGTTCCTGGAACGTAGCGCTGGAAATGTAGTCATCAGTATACATTACTGTATAACAACACTGTGAGATTTTATCAAAACAAAAATTTACCCATAATGGAACTAGATGAAGTTTTTTTTGTCACACTTTCTCCTCTCTGTTGTATTTAATCTTGTATGTGGAAATGGGCACATAAAAACGACTTTCTTTTTTGTTATTAAATGTGTTTCTAGGTCATCATACAGTATATCGAATGGCTGCGCCTACACAAGCTGAACGTGATGAATGGATTCGTATGCTTGAACGTGTTACTCATCGGTTAGCTGAACGACGTGGCACCCGAAGTATCAGTGTCGATTGTACTTCTAGCAGCAGTAGTACCACTGCTGCTGCTGTTGGTGGTGGTGGTTGTGGGCCTGGATCATCATCAATGACTATAGGACGAAAACCAGGTGGTGGTGTTGGCGGTGGTAGTCATTTACCGCCTCCTGTCTCTTCGGTATCACTTCGACGTAATGGTGCTGGCAGTCAGCCAGATTTACCTAGTCAACAGTCTGTGTTAAATTAGTTCTTATTATCTTGTTGGTTTGTTTTTTATTTTTTAAAAATTTGTTTCCTCCCTTCTTTGTTTCGATGCATTTTTGATGCATTCTGATAATTGTAAAGTAAATATTTTGATTTTTTTGATTCTTTCTTTGTTTATTTATTTATTAATTTTCTGTGTTTTTGTAATTCCTGTAATATCCACACCTCATTTTTATTGACAAACAACAGAGACACAAAGATTGATCGTGATGCTCGATAAACTCTACTCCCCACCACACAGCACCCATCCGCCCTTTTCTAAACCCAAGTTGTGAATTTCATTAGCATATATATGTCGTTTAGCAAAAACACATTCCTGTTTATTCTTCGCCTTTTTACTCTTCTCTCCTCTCTCCTACCGGCCTACCCACCTCTACAACACATGTTTTCGTTATTCTCGTTATTGATCTGACTTGACCCGATCTGATCTGATCTGAATTATTTATATTTGCGATCCCAAAGATTTGTTTGGCTGTTCGTTTTTATTTTGTTTTTGTTTATTTTGGTGATTGGATCTTGTTTATGTGTAGTTTTTATATTGCCTGTCAAATACTCTCCCTCTCTCTCTCACACACATATGAAGAGACGTAGTCAACCAAACTATTCACCACTCATCCCCCCCCCACACCCAACCCCATAGTGTGCGTGTCAATGGGCCGAAAAAAACTACGTGGGAAAGTAGACAAAAAAAACACGGAATTTTTTGTTTTGATAGTATAAAATGTGTCATTGTCAAGGTTGGAGAACAAAACAGTGTCCGTGTGAAATATACACCGGAGTTGTTTTTATACTTGTCTGTTTGTTCGTTTGTTGGTTTGTTTCCTCATGTTTTACCCATCCTTTCATTCATCCATTTAGGCACTCACTCACTCCCTCGCTCATTCATTCACTCGCTGTCTTGTCTTATGTGTATATGGGGAACAAAAAACCCCACTTTCTCTTTTATTTGTGTGTGGGACAGAGACACAATGTATATTCTATGTGTGTTATACGCCCAGATTCTTTGGTGGAAGTACTGTTTTTCTTCCTTTTTATTCTTATTCGTCTTCTCTTCGAGGTGTTACCCTTTTTGTTAATAGACGTATTCACTTTTTTTTATTACTCTATCTATCTGTCTCTCTATTTGCCTATAGACGTCTAGCTTTGGTGTATTCTCCCGCCTCAACAGTGAGTGATTTCAGTAATATATATTTGTTCTTATTCTTTCAATAGTAGTAATAATAATATGGTAATACAGGTTCTTCTTCTGGTCTTGGGTTCGAGTCTGTTCACATATATATATATATATATATATATATATTGTAAGCTATTCACTCTGTTCAATAATTTTTTGTATGTATGTATGTGTGTGTGTGTGCATGTATTGATGGTCTAAGTGTTTCTTTCTTTTCTCAGGTATGTATTTTAGTAAAACTAACTAACTGATGCGCATATTATGTACTCATACAGACTTACTTACATGAGAAGTACTCAGTTTTACAGATTGTAAATATTACATATTAATATTAATGAGTGGAGTTTCTCCTCAATGATTAAAAAAATATATATATGCATATGTATTTATAAAATATAATTATTTGTTTAATTAACTTTTAATTTTTCGTATGTTTTTTTTTCTTTTTGGTTGTATGTTGTGTTGTGAATTATTCTGCGTTTTGCTTAAATATTCTGGTTTATTTTACATTGTCTTACTTAAGGAAGTAGGATTTAACTAGATATTTCTAGTGTGGGGAGGAGTTGGGTTCTTAGAGTTACACACATTGCCCGTTGGGTTCTGTGTAGTTTCTTCCAGTTAGTTGTAGTAGTATTGCTCGCAAGATTTCGCTTCCTCGAAGGGATACCCAACTTATCGCTTCCCGTTTAGGTTTGCACTCTAAGGTCACCCTGATGTGTGTGTGTGTATGTGTTTGACTTCAGTTGCGTATCCCCTACCCTTCGGCGGTTGTTTCATACTCTGAAAGAAACCAGGTAGATGTGTGTGGGTAAAGTACGCTTTAGGTGGCTCTCCTTCCTTGTCTATAAATCGCATAGACAGCTGAGGTATTTTTTTTTATCTATTTCCATAATGGAAACAAATGTTTAATTAATACTGTAACTACAGAAGACAAGGGCCAGATAACAGATCGTTTATTAAGAAAATCAAGAGGTATTTTGTAGGTTTTTATGGGATCATTATTAGCGTTATTGTTAGCAGAGTAGCAACCTCTTCTGATTGGTTGTTTTCTTGCTGAAGGTTATTCTGTTCTGCTTTGCACACATCAAGTCTACTTTGATTGGCTGTTGAGTTCCTCAAGGTTAAGCTTTGTTATTGTTTTTTCTCATGACCTTGATTAGGGACGTAAACATTGACGTTAATTGTTGTCTACAGTTTTGACGTGCAGCTAGCTCTCACCACAATATAACTGTACAAACTTGAACAGAACAGCATGTACCGTCATATTTATTGTTTTTAACTCAGGAACTCGTTCGCAGTCACCCATGGACACTGAAATCGTTTTCCGATTGAGTCATAATCGAGGCCCTGACATGTGATGTAACCATATAGGGCACACTATCCTGGATAATCCGAATTATGTAAATGTCTAAAGAAGGGGAGTTCAATCTGTACTCCAACCACCCAGAAAGAAGGTCTGTCTTGTCTCTCGAATGACATACGCCTAAACCTCGCCTAGTCAGTTAGTTTTTAGTTTCAGCAGTCAATAGTAAAACATATAAAGATGGAGCGTGGTTAGGAATGAGAGTAGTAGGAACTTGACGCCATGAAAAAAAAACATCAAAGCTTGAAACTCTATCTTTCACTAGGAACGCTACAAAAAGACATAGATAGATGCTCCAGAAGATGGATGTTTCACTAATTCACTAGATTAAAGCTTTTCTGTCAAGGTTTTTTTTGTAGAGATTTGACTTGTGTCAAGCTTAATCATGGATCGATATCAGTTAAAGCACCATTGAAAACCGACACGGGGTCGTCCTAGTTTGGGACTCATAGGCAGGCAGTACGCACCCACCTAGCGGGGTTGGAACTCACGACCTCTGGGTTACTATTCAAGCTCGTACAGCATTCAGTTACTGTTTGCATGAAGTTCTTTTAGTGACAATTTGTGACCTATTACTGGCGTTCATCCTGTCTGGAGTGAGGATAAATACTCCCCAAGGATGACATGGACTGGCCATTGAGTCGATTCTCAGTGGCTGAACAGTCGATGAGCCTCCCATGTAATCGGAAGGTCCTTGGTTCGAACCCCGGTGGTGGATAAGTGCTGATGACGAGTTCCAAACTGGGATAAAACAACTGCCCAGTATTCCTTCACTAGTTCTCTAACTGATATCAATCCGTGACCAGACGTGAAACAGTTTTTTCTACACGAAAGTGATGCTCTAGCATTCATATATTGTGATTGTAGTATGTTCAGCTTATAACGGTATACACATAACCTGTAAGATGGTACAATATCTATTGGAGATAGTGTAATGGTTGTTGTGTGACATGACTCACCGAAGTGATTCAGGAGAAACTTGATCTTGATGATGAAATTTCACGATTTTTTCCGCTTGGAAACCTTGGTGATGTGTTCTTCCAGTGGTGAGATCATTTTGATTAAGCTTATTATTATTTATTATTTCCCTGCGTTCCAAGTGGTGGAACATAGGGATTCAACAACACATCTCCACATTGTCGTATTTTCTGCCGTCCTCTTCAGCTTGGACCACGATTCCTCGCAATCTCTCATCTCCTCCCCAACACACAATCTCCTCCATGTCACCGTCGCACTGACAACCCAGTCGTCTCTACCCAATGGCATTCCACTCAAGCCATAGCCTGGTTGGCGCGCGACTTAATTCGACGGTCTCTTCAATGTATGCCCGATCCATCCCTATTTTCTCCTACATATTTGTTGAGCGATTGGCTCTCCCCTGTTGGTCTGTTCATCGCCAGAGTTTCTAGTTGCTAATTCTTTCTGGTCTGCCGGCGGGTCGACCAGTTATTTGATCTCCAGTATGAAGTCAGTTAGCGAAATTGGCAGCTGTTGATAAAAGGCTGTTGCAAATCCTTTTTGTGACCCTCAGTGCAGGTTTCTGACCCGTATGGAAGGACAGTATCTTGTTGTTTATACTGGTTGAGTGCAGAAGGTTTCCAAACTGGTTTCTATTTAGCTAGCAAGCTGTAATTGTTAGTGTGTTAGTGAATTCTAAGAAATCCTGAAGAGAATCGAAAATTCAACAGATGACAAATTGATTGAGGAGGAGGACATTCTCACTTTTCGGTAATATCCTCGTTATGGTAGGCTTTACTGTAATATATGAAGACATTCATTCAACTACAGGCGGAACTGACAAGGATATCAAAGCAAGACAAGCTTTTGATTACTCTCAAATCTGTGTGGTAGTCAACAGCACTCAGAATCAAAAATAAGATCCGGATTTTCAACTCCAATGTGAAGTCAGTCAGTGCTACTCACTATACGGATCAGAGACTTGGCGCGTCATAAAGAGCATCTCAAACAAACTTCAGACCTTCATTAACAGATATCTTCGCTCAATACTCGAGATCAGATGGCTGACGAGAAAAGATCAGCAACAGGGATCTATGGAAGCGGACCAACAAGGAAGAGATTGTGCAACAAATAGGCAGGAAGAAATGGAGGTGGATTTGCCATACTTTGAGGAAACAAACCATCAAGTGATGTCATTAGACTAGCCCTCGAGAGGAACGCGAAAAGGAGGTAGCGAGTTGGTGGTCAGTGCAAGGGTGACTTGCAGGAGGTCATGTGAAGAGGAGGTGAAAGCATGTGGGTAGACATGGAGCGGAGTGAAAAAGTTGGCGGAAAACCGAAGGCAATTGAGATGTGCAGCTGAAGCTCTATGTTCCTCTAGGAATTAAAGGAATTAATAATAATAATAACTAATCACTGAGCGCATGATTTCGGTTTACATCAAACGGCATGAAATAGAATGTTCAAATAAATATATCCCTATTTTGTTTCCTAATGTAGTATTGAACTGTGTGAGATGTCAGAATAATATTCCGTTGGAGCACATTGTTTGTTTCATACCACTACAGTAACTCAACGAGTCGAACTATTCTCTTGTTCAAGTGTTGGTTTGTAGGGATTTGATTGATTGGTTACAGGATTTTATCATGAGCTGACATTGGTTAGAGAAACATTGGAATACCAGTCAGAGAGTACTGGGCAGCTATTTTGTCCTATCTTGGGACTCTTCGGCAGTGCACACCTGCCGGGGTTCGAACCTAGGACCTTCTGGTTGAAAAGTGAACTCATAGACCATTCCTCAACCACTGAGACCCGATCCAATGGCTAGCCAGTCCAAAAAATTCTAACTTTTACCATTTCACGACATAGCGCGACCACTAGTCAAACTAGGACGAAACAGCTCTCCAGTACTCCCTGATTGGTTTTCCAATGGTTCTCTAACCATGTCAACTCATGATGAGATTCTCTTGCTCTTAAAACTGTATAGTTTGTTTCATTGTGATGTAAATTAGTGAAATAATAACACGATGTTTTTATCGTCCATTCAATGCCTCAAAGTTTTGTTGTCTCTTAAAGTTTGAGAAATACTAGTACATACTAGTTAATTTCGCATCTTCTATGCGCATCTGTGTCAGTCTGACTAGCTTCATTTGAAGCGGTTTTATCAGGCATACCTTAATTATACGTACGCTCATTCACCATCGGATTTTCCAACATCCTTCTGTATGTGCTTAAGTACAGGAGAAGCAAATTATCTTCGTGGCTCTACTTTAGGCATACCTTGTAGAGACTGATCACGAAGTTATTTGCTGTATTCTGACTAATCTTAAATTCGCTTCACGAGTTCGTCTACTGCAAACATCAAAAGTCATGTGTGTCTGTCTATCTGCTTACAACATAGAACTTTGCACCGATGTGCACCAGTTCAAGTCGCTACACTCCCTCTATGTGAGGCAAAAAGAATAGTAATGAGGAAGAACAACATAGTTTTGTTGGGTATTTTAAGACAAAGGAGCGGGCGCTTCTGTGCCAGCCATTGACAACGATGAGTTTGATCCATATCACCATTTGTCTACAGCTGTCATTGGTATTTACCGTCCCGAGGACCCCAACCAGTCAGTCAGGTAGTTTACATCTTCCCACGTGGCTTAAACTAACTGTTGTAAATTCCATTGATTGACGAAGCCACGTTTCGGTTTCACCACCCACCATTAGCTCCTCCTCTCCAACCTGACCCTATATCAGCTAACATTGGTTGTTATTGAGGAAGGCGATGACTAAGCGTGCATGCGCAACACATATCCTAAGCATTTCTCAATCGATGTAACTTCACAACATCGTCGATTAATTTCCCCTCCTTACGTAGCACTCTATAGACGCCTAACCTCAATATTGCTCACCCTATTATACCACCACTTCACACGGGAGGTAAAACTCAGGCACCTATGATCAAAGACAGCTAGCTAGGCGTTTCATGTCTTCCACTCTCAATTACCAGTTCTCACAGCCATAGAGGAAGACGGAGCGGACTGATGAGCAGTAAACACGTCCTTTGGTCGATAGCCAGCCGGATATCACGTCTACTAAGCCAGAGACGGCGTTAACTGGCATTATACGGAACTAATCATCTGTATCCGCGTAGAGATCTCGTCAGCCATCAACCCGTTGGCACTCGCTGAAGAAACTTCTCGAATAAGTGAAGCGGTCATCGAGCTGTACAACTTCACTCTCTATTTCTAAACTAAGAGTCAGTGTAGTCCAGTCCTGTAGCATAATCTTATATTTGGCGTGAGCAAATCGCTTGTCAAACATTCGAAGATTGAAGCTCAAGGTGTTCAGAAGACACTGTATTTTGTCAGCGTCTTCACTTGGGAGGGAGGACTATATCATCTGCATATTCTAAGTCAACGAGGTCATACCCTGGTAACAAGTCAATCTCTGCAACTCCTATGTGAGTTAAGGGTTTTTTCTATTAGTATATGATGAAATTAAATAGAAATGGAGACAGTACGTATCCCTCGCTGACGGACACCACTACACTAGTTGTCATCACTTCAGGTGGCGACTCACCGTTAGCCCTCACATGACTGTACTGACTGTATGAGTTCGAGTAGAGTGAATGGCTTGATCAGTGCAGTGTATCCTCAACTTGGCCAATCATTACATAAATATAAAATAACTAAAAATTCCTCCTCCTCCTTTAAACTACTTACAAGGTTATTCTAACTGCTTCATGTCCATTACATAATCAGTTTCAACACTCATTTACTTCTTTATTACCCCCTACCCCCGCCGATCCCAAAAATACTCACTTATTCTAACCGCCACTAATATTGCCCACTATTAAGAGTTGCAGACATAATACACACCCATGGCATGTTGATATTTGACTAATTATTGTTAACAAACAAATCAAATCTCTACAAACTAACTCTGATCCTCTCCAGTGACTGGCTACAGAACTCGGTTGCATAGAATTCTTCTTCTAGCGAGAAGTTGTGACCAGTGGGGGTTCCATCTAGTTGGGAGTGAGGACAAAAAGTCTCGGTGAAAGAAATTGGCTAGTGGTTGCGCTAAAGTCGCTAACTGATAGGAGTTAGAATTCATGTGTGATGGCCGTCAAGTCGGTTCCCAGTATCTGGATGGTTTACGAGCTTAACTAATAACTGGAAGGCCTTTGGTTCCAACCCTGCTGGTGGTGGGTATGTACTGCCGATATTTCGCAAACTAGGGTGAATGAAACAGCTCTCCTTCGTTTTTTAGTAGTTCTCTAACTGAAATCATACTACGAGGTCGCGAGTTGCTTGAATCACCTGATTTTCCATCCGAAACAAGAGCATCTTATTTCCTCATATTCTTGTTGTTATAATCATTCAGTTATGGATATGGGTCACCAAACATACACGTGTACATTTTTAATTGGCTTTCAACCATTGTGTGTTTCTAAAGGACTAAAGGAATAAATACCATAAAGGGTTCTTTTATTCTACAGGTTGAACATCATTGTATCACATGACGTGATGGAAATGTCTGTTGTACTTGAAAATCCCTAGATGGAGAGAAAATATTCTACTGGGAATTGTGAATATTGTGTAAACTAATTATGCAGATTAAAGCTATTATTAGTAGTATTTTCCAGTTAGTTTATAGGGATCTTGTTCATTTCAATTTTGATCACGAATTGATATCAGTTAGAGGGAATCATTGAAAACCAAGAGGGAGTACTGGACGACAATTGTTTCCTTCAAGTTTGGGACCCGTGACCCACCAACACCCCAGGGGATTGTGTCAAAACCCTTAGGGTTTTGAGGGGAATGCATTTAATGGCTCATCAGCTCTAGCTTCTGTCAGTTCACAATTTCACCCAGCCAGCGCCAGCTAATAACATTGGCGAGTATTTGTGTTCACTTTCGACCTGATATTCCCCGCCAGTCAAAACTTTTCATTAGATAGAAGAACTTCATTTAACTTCGTTCTGTAGTCGATGGTCACTAGTGAGCATCAGATTAGTGTTTTCAAGAGTTAGTTTGTAGGCATTTGATCGGGGAGCAGTTTTGATAATGGATCGATAGTAGTTAGTTAGAGAACTGCGCAGGTACTTCGTCCTACTCTTCTTCAGATCAATCAGATACTGGTAAACTTTGTCCTCGAAAAATGTATTACATAATGCAAGATGTAAGAAGGGATGACTAATAATTGTAAGTTAGAATAGAGGTAGAAGTTGGTATGACGTAATAATTGTGAGAAAAGGACTGATCAATATGATTGTGTAGAATGAACAGGAACTAGTGGAAAGGCGATAGAGTGTTTTTATATAAAATCTGTATGAAAGCGCATGTTATGTTATTAATAAACAGTAATAGAGTGGTAATAAAATATGAGGGATTTCACAGTGCTATACAGAGTCCCTCAATATCGTACAAAGGGACTTCGCATACGCCATCTGTACACAGATGAAGTATTAGTGATTTGAGATCTGCAGGCGGACCTCTGCATTCAAAAGCGATACATACATTCACTGGCCCTACCATGGCCAGAGTAAAGTTCTTACTATAATTTTGCTTCCTCTTTTATTATGAAGGTTCACTATTATTATTATTATTTTTGCTATTACTAATATTATTTTATCATTATAACTCCCACCATCTACACGGGTAGTCACGGTTTCTCACTGGAATCCCAGGGTGCAGTAGGTTAAAGGTGAAGCATTAACTCATCTAAGAAGAAGACATTGAGAAGTGGTCGCTCTATGTCATGAATTGGTAGAAGTTGGAATTCATGGACTGGCCATTGCAACGAGTCCGAGTGGCTTAGTGATTTACGAGCTAGCTCGCTCACCTTGTAACCAGAAGGTCGTGGGTTTTAATCCCGTCGTGTGGGTGCGTACTGCTGAAGCGGAGTCCCAAACTGGACTGAAGAAACAACTGTTCAGTACTCTCTGACTGGTTTTCCAATGGTTCTCTAACCGATGCCAGCGCTCATGATGAAATCATGTAACCACTTTATCATCCTTATTCCCCGCCGTCTTCTAATCCCTCTGTGTATATGATCAGTGCAACTTTGTATTTATTGATTTTTTTGATTGATCATCGTTTCACTAACTTTTGCTCACTTTAATTTTCATTTAGGCTTCTAATGTTGTCAATCGAACTCTGAAAACTCGTTCACGTGTTTTATCACTTTATCGTCAAATATTCCGTCTAGCTCGAGTATGGAATGCTCAGTCAGGTGTGAAAGAAGACTCCATACGTGAATCTGAATATATGAAAGAAGAAGCGAGAACACTGTTTCGACAGAATGCCCACCTTACAGATGAAGAAGAGATTGAAGTAAGTTGTGTTTGCTGACTTCATAGTTGTGTTCCTTGTTGATTGTTGTTGTGATCGGTTGATTAATTTGATTCATGTGGTAGCGATTCGTATAATTGAAGATTGATCCATCGTTTTTGGCATTAAAAAACACAAATTTGGCACATTATAGGTCACCGTAAGATGCGTTACACAAAATATCGTGGTTTGTAAACGGGGTCTGGGGTTCTGCTTGGATGCCTAGTACGAAGCAGGTGGTGGTTGTCTTTAGGGACCAATCTCCCCACGAGCCTTTGATCCACAAAGCAATGTGGCATCTTTACTCATTGACAATACCCATTAAAATTTTTCAAAAGAATGGATACTGTACAAAGAGTACTCTTTTCGATAACGTCATCATCATCAGGCTCTACAGTTATATATACATTATAGTGAATGAATGAATTAGTGTTATGAACAACATTAATGTTGCTGTTTAAATAACATCGAACCAATAGTACTGATAGATTACAGTGGACGGGGTGGCGATGGGCTCCCTATTGGGTCCCATTCTGGCTAATTTCTTTCTAAATAAGCTAGAAAATGGACCTTTGAACAACCTTATCAGTAAACTCTCATTTTATTGCCGATATATGGATGATACCTTTATTCTTTGTGATAATGGTTCTGATAGAGGAGTACAATAATTACTGAATTCAATGAAGTATACTCGGTTATGAAATTCACGTGTGAAGAGGAATCCCAAAACAGAATTCCCTTCCTGGATGTCCTACTTACAAGAAAACCAGATGGTAGCATAAAAAGAAATTTGCATAGAAAAACCACTTGGACAGGACAATATACACATTTTCAAAGCTTCGTTCTTATCAAGTACAAAATAAATTTAGTGAAGACCCTCAGCCAAAGGGTTAGTTAGAGCTATATGCTCAGAAGAAGTAAATGAAAATGAACTAAGCATTGTATATGATAATTTGATCGAAAATGTCTATCCCGACAAATTTATCAAGAAACACATGACAAAGAAAGCGGCGGAAAAAGACTACTCTGTAAACAAGAAGCCTCTTTATATACGACTACAATTCATGGGTGAGATAATTACGAAGAAATTTAGAAAATCAGTTCAAAGAACTTTTACTGCTGGCAAACTACACGTCTTAATCTCTACACGACCGATGGTGATCCCTCGACTGAAAGATGTAGTACCTAGACTAGCTAGCGACTTCAAATTGCATCTACCACTTCAACTGCGCTTGTGGTGGGAGTTATATTGGCCGTTGCTCTAGGAACTTGATTTTTCGTGCTCACTCGAGAACATCTCCCACTATGGCTAAGTAAAGGTGTAGTGAAAACCATTAACAGTTCGATATTGGACCATCTGGTCCAAACCGGCCACAAAGCCAGCGTGGAAGAATCCTTCTCTATCATCTACCGGGTGGCTAATAAATTGCCAAAATCATCGAGCATCGCATGTTCCAAACAGCAGAGGCTATTGTAATTCGCCTCAAACAACCAGTGCTCTGAGTTCAAAAGAAACAAGTCCAGCCCCTACTACAGCACTGGCCTTCACTGGAAACTATAAACTCATGAATTTGTAATATTATCTTTCCTAATTTTTCTGACATTCAGCTTATTGTTATGTTGATGCTATTGAACTGTGATCTATCGATATTAGTATTGATTCGACGTTCTTTAAACAGCAACATTAATGTTGTTCATAACACTAATTCATTCACTATTATGTTTATATAACTGTAGAACCTGATGATGATGACGTTATCGAAAAGAGTACTCTTTGTTCAGTATCCATTCTTTTGATCATTATTATTAGTATTATTATTAAAACACAAATTAGGTATATTATAGGGCACCATAAGATGCGTTACACAAAATCTCATACTTTATAAAAGAGGTGGTATTCTGCTCGGATGCCTAGATGGAAGCAGGTGGTGGTTGTCTTTATGGACCACTCACTCTACGAGCCTTTAATCCACGAAGTAATCGAGCTGCGTTAGGACCTATGTCCCAATGGTTCCCGTTGAACAAAAGAGATTCACACATGCTATTCGATTCGTTTATGTTCTGAAGCCAATGTACACCGTAGGTTTAGAATTAGGGTTTTCCAACACTTCTACGTCGATGGCAGTGCGGTTAGGACGCTCGCCGATCATGCACATGGTCCAGGGTTCGATCCCCTACCGAAGCACACCTGATATCAATGGTTGGCCTGCAAAATTTGCGCCATTGATATCATATGCTGAAAATTCCATACTTGTACCAAAAATATGGTGTGGGATCAAGCTATAATAAATATAATAATAAAATAAAAATAATAGATGTCTAACAGTCTAGTTGTAATCGCCAGATTTCGGGATTCTACGTATATAAACATATGCGTATATAATTGTAGAACCATAGGGGAGGAAATTATCGAAAAGGATATTCCTTGCTCAATTATTTTGTCTTTGTATGGATGTCTGAATGAATATTTTCGCTATTTTTTATTGATTGAAGTGTAATGAATTCTACTAGTCACAACCTACAGTCTCTCTCTCTCTCTGTGACTCTGTCTGTCTCATGTCTCATTCATAAGATTCTACGATTCATTCGAGTTTTTTGGTTTCTCTTATTGTTTCTTCCTTGTATTTTTGGTTTCTTTTTTTTTTATAAAACTTAAATTCGTAAAATCTCACCGAAATTGAAATGCGTAATTCCAACGTTAACTGTTTTCGGCAAACAGGTCTGAACTTCTTCAGGGAAATTAATCGAAATTCAAATAACAGAGGTTTATGCTTATAAAAAGGATACGTTGTTTTTTTGAAAAACTTTCTCCAATCATATAAGTCATGAAACAGGCTTCAACATGTATAATAAGCAAAATTATATAAGTTGTTTTCAAAATTCCTCCTGAGATGTACAAATATTATTGGTCTATTTTTGTTAAACACTTTAAACAGAGAGTGTACTTTTTCATCAGACTTTTAGTGATTACGTTCGACTAAGAGTAATGGAACTATTCATCAGTACGCACCCACACCACAGGTTTCGAATATAGTGCCCTCCGGTTACAAGGCGAGCTCGTAGACCATTAAACCACTGGGAGCCGATTCAATGGCCAACCCGTGAACTCTGACTTCCGCCAATTCACAATATAGCGCGACCACTTCTCAATGTCTTCTTCTTCGATGAGTTACTGCCTCACCTTCAACGTGCTGTACCTAACTGGTCACGGCTTCCAATTAGAACCTCAGGTTAACTGCCTGAATAAGGCCAGTCGTTTGTGAGCATCAAAGCACCCACCAGTACTTGAAAATTGATCTGATGCTCACTAGCGACTAGCCCTATATGTGTACTTAGTTACCTGGGGTTCTAGTAGGAAGCCGTGACCAGTTAGGTACAGCAGGTTGAAGTTGAGGTAGTAATTCATTGAAGAAGAAGAAGAAGACACTAAGAAATGCTCGCGCTATTTTATGAATTGGCAGAACTTAGAATTCACGGACTGGCCATTTGATCGGGTCCCAGTGATTGGCTTAATGGTCTACCAGCCCGCCGCTACACTTGACATCAGAAGGTCCTGGGTTCGAACTCTGTGCTGCGGTTGCGTACTGCTAAAGTGGAGTCGCAAACTAGGCTGACGAAACAACTGGCTGTCTAGTACTCCCTGGCTAGTTTTTCAATGGTTCTTTAGCTGATATCAACTCATGGTGAAATCCTCCAACAAATTCCTCTCTCTTCTCTATCAAATCTTCATGATTTTCCATGTTACTACTACTATTCTTTCTTCCTAACATTTCTGTTGATTACACTTCATGTGAATTTATTTCTACCTCTCATTGGTCTACCTTTGTGTGAATGTATGTGATATATGACGAGTTGAATTGGTCAACTCATAGCCTGCCTCACTGGAGATCGAACCCACGACCTTCAAGTTAAGCGGCACGGTGTAAACTGCTATCAGTCTATAGTGGAACTTGGCACCAATCAAATGCCGATAAAAACCAAACACTTGAAAACCTCGCACACATTTCATGAGAGAGATTTAGACAAGAATTATCGCAACTGTCTCCGCCTAATCACGTTTTAGTGATTCTTCAAATATAGATACACATAGATGGAGCGTGTTTCATTCAATTGACTCAGCTCATGCAGATTAACAAATTCATCAGCTTTATTACTTGAAATTGAAATAATTGAAACTTTATACCTACCTAATCTGGTTCTATTCAGGTAGGTAGTTACCTGAGGTTCTAGTCGGAAGCCGTGACCGGTAGGGTACAGCATGTTGAAAAGGTGAGGCCATAACTCATCGAAGAAGAAGACATTTCTAAGTGGTCGCTCTATGGCATGAATTGACAGAAATTAGAATTCATTGACTGGCCATTGGATCGCGCTCCAGTGATTGGCTTAATCGTCTACGAGCTAGCTCGGTAGTCTTGTAACCAGAATGTCATGGGTTCGAATCCCGTTGTGTCGGCGCGTACTGCTGAAGTAGAGTCCCAAACCAGGCGGACGAAACAGCTGTCCTGCACTTCCTGACTAGTTTTGCAATGGTCATCTAATTGATGCCGGTTCATGATGAAATCCTCCAACCAATCATATGATTTTGTTTTATTTATATTTTGTAATTAAATTTAGAGGTTAAAATAACACAGACATACACACACAAAGGATCTACACGGTACTCTTGTTACGAAAATTTGGATAAGAATTAAAAACTTGCGTACTTTGGTAGAGTATAATCCCATTATGGGTGAAATTTTGTTGCTGATAAAGCCTCACAGTGTAATGCATTAATGTTTACAGATGACGAAGTTTTTAGCACAAATTATTGCTACTCATAATCATATCAAGTTACCACGAACACAACTTTCTAACTTAGTTTATATAATTCCATTATTTCATTCATCGCTTGACTTGATTGGTAGTAGTATTCTCCATATTTCCGGTATGAGTGATGAGTCATTCCTACTGCATGTGTTGCGTGTAGACCCCATGAACAAGGCAAGATTCGGTAATCAAGCTCT